CCCCCCCCCCCCCCCCCCCGACAATGAAATGAATTTGTGACGGTGGCTCCGAAAATTTCAACTGTTTAGGAACGACCAAAGATGCTCATACCGTCACCCCACCTTACCAGCAATGCAGAACTATTCATCCAAATCGTGCAGATCGGTCTCACAAGGTAACCCCGGTGAGGGTTCGCCAACTTCACGCACCACCCCTTCTTATCCTAATCCATCGGCACTCATTCGGGAACGGAAGCACGAAGGCCGATTCCCAGCATCGAATATCCTTCTCGTTCCGTTGGGTCACCAGCATTACAATGGGACACAATGGGGCGTTAGTACACGACAAGGTGTAATCGGCCCTCGGAGCGAACATCAAATTCTTTGGTGTTATTGTATTTTCTTTGCTTCCTGGGAAACGGATTTGCCGTAAGAACCTCGCCAGTCACACGTCTTCTCACGACCACCGGACCTCGGCATCTTTCACCGTGCGGTCGGTAGAATCTAACCAGTACACGCTACTCTGCATCGTGCCCGGATCACCCTGCACCTTGCAATGCGCCAACCTCGCGCTCCCGATCTACGGTGAGCTACATATCACAACATCATCTGACCCTCTGTCCGGCGATAAGACTGGATGAAGAAACCAGATAGATGGTATATGAACACACCGGTCCCCCGAGTGGTCTAAATACGTTGTTATCCCTTGTTCTCGTGCATTTCCGTATCCCTCACATTGGCCCAGTCCGTGCACATCACGCCCGAGCCTGCAGGCATGATGTTCAGATGACCGTCGCAATGACGGCGGGCTGTCGACTTTTACGGCGTCGGCCGAACAAGTGCCGGGCGCTCGGCCCGAGTGTGGTTCTCATCGGCAGGGTCCGACGTGCCCGTTGCTTCTCGGACATATGCTTACGGAAAGCATTCACCTTGACTTCGCATCTTCCAGCCTTCTACTCATCGAGTCCTGTCACTAGAGCAGCCATGCTATTGGTATGACGCATTGAGGGGCGTGGGCGAAAATGGCGCATCAAGATCAACAGCTCCAGAATCGGAAAGGCAATCATCGGCGCCGAGGGGTTCCCGTTTAGACTTGCAGCAAGAGAAGCATAAAGCTTTATTGTATGGTGAGGGTTTGCCTGTATACAAGAATATCGTCGTGCCTTGGAGTGGGGCTGGCTGGGCGCACGTTCTTCGGGCGGATCATGTTTAGAGGCGCTATCGGTGTATTGTGCGTGTGTGTGTTTAGGGCGGGCGGGCGAGCAGGAAGGGGGGTCCCACCAGTCTATTGCAGTCGATATTGGTGCATTTGAGGCTCACAAGTGTAGGTTGTCTTTTCAACGATTCAACAATGAGGACTGACAATTGATCAATTCTGACTAACATAAATTACATGCACCCGCCCATTCGTTGCGCCCCGCGTGTCGATCACCCACACCAACCCGTATCAGCAGTTGTACGCCGCGGGCACATCACGAAACGGGCCAAACAAAGGGGCATGCGGGATATGTGTATATCTACTTATCTTCCTTCTTGTAATGTTCGTGGTGCTCTTGGTCTTCGGGTCGTATGTGCTCTGGGGAATAAGGTAAAGCATATAGAAAAATGGGCAGACTTGAATAGAACTGAGGCGCGAAAGCGGGCGGGGTTTAAAAGAAAGCAAATTGATCGGGACAGCATTGAAAGGATATCGAAGAATGACTGGGATTTCGGACAGGACGTGAGGTGTCATCATGTGCGGATGAAGAAAATCGGATATCTGCGTGCAGAAGCTGAATTGGCATCAGGGGAAACGTGTTGATAAAAAGTGAAGCATTGAACAATATGTTCAAATGACAGTGCCCATCGCGAGCATCCGTTCGAGACGAAGGAATTCGGGTACAATCGCCGCGTACCCCATGAACGCGTCGATGTCAGAATCCGCGAGCTTGCGTAGGCCAAGCAGGACATCAGCTTCATCGGTTTGAAGACCGACGACTTCTGGCATGGCGGCAGGGGATCCTGAGGCGGAGGGCGATTCGCCGAAAGGTGGCATAAGTCCTGGAGTAGTGAGGGAGGCCAAACTGGCAGGGCTGGAGGTGTGAGATATGGCGGAGGGTGTAGAAGCGAGCGAAGCATACGAGCCAATTGAGGTGTTTGAGCCACCGGTGAGAGTGCGTGTACGCGTGATGGGTTCTGCCAGCTCTGGCGAGGTTTTTGGTGTCATCAGCAATGATGAAGACCGGCCGAAAGCGGATGGTGGTTGCTGGTAGCTTGTCATGGGTGGGGAAGGCTCGGTACTCAAGTCATCCTCCTCGGTTTCATCGACCTCTTCAACGGTGTCGACAGTTGCAAGCATGGTAGTACTCAACCTGCTGCCGGGGTGGGAATAGAAACTACTTCCAGGCTTCTTAAGGACGCCCTTCGCAACAAGGCCTTCACGTTCTTTGTCCCGAGCACGCTCCCATTCTCTTTCACGTTCACGGAACAAGATACTCTCGGCTTTGCGCTTGAGCAACGCGCGGACTTCGTCCCCATATGTGGCATATCGAGCAGTTTCCTCTAGCCGCATCAACCTGCGCCAGGCGTAGCGAGCAAGATACGCAGATCCCAGGGCAGAACGGCTGAGCTCAGGCTTTGGCATGTCGTCGGGGAACGGGAATGCAGGTTGACCCGGAGCAGTGGTGGGGCTGGACACGAAGATTATGGAGTGGAATATGTCGCTGATGAGCTGGGCCATTGCGGGGTAATTCGCGGTTGTTCCGTTGATGATCATCCGCCTTGGCAGGGGGATCGGGTCGTACACGTCGAAAGGCACCGAGGACGGGAACAACGGCTTTGGCGATTGGGAAATCGGTGCGAGGAGACGTGACAGACGGACGCGAAGATGGAGCATCTGCGATTCCAGCAGACATCGGGGGATGACACGGGAGTCTTCAAACTCCGCCGTCTTGCCAAAACGAAATCGGAACTGGCCTTGAGGTCCCCAGAAGCAGAAGAGCTTGTTGTCCAACCTGCACATGTGTGAGATCATGCACATGGGCACGGCAAAACTACACACCCAATCGACCCTCCTGGAGGAACAACCGCAACAAGGCGATCGAAAGCAGTCCACGTCTTTGTGTACTTGCCCATGGCTTGTTGGCGCGCTTCCTCTCCATACGAGCTGACTACCACGCCGATATATCCCTCGCCTAAGCCTGCAGGATGCGGAACGACGCTGGCGTCTTCTCTCTCCCATACCCGGTTGATGGAGGAGGGCATGGCAGATCTTGCCACCGGCTGTGGAGGTGGAATCGACGTTAAGGGTACGAGAAGCACATCAGGCGTGCCCAGCGCCATAACCCCCGTAGTTGAAGACGGCGCCTGCGACAGATAGAAGGCTATATGCGGGGGTTGGAAAGCATGCACGGTGGTATCTATGGATCAATCGTCAGCCCTCTGAACCCTGAACCCTTTCGCCTGCATATGGGGAGCGTTCCCGTTGTAATGAGGAAAAGCATCGCCCGCACCACGAAAGCCGATAGAGCCGGCTTACCTGGCGAGAATCCATAGCGTGTCACAAAATATGGTGCAATCCGTCCGACCTCCTCCGCCTCTCGCAACCCAGGCAAGCTGCATCGCGGCATCATCTCCTTCACTCTTGCCGGAGCGTCGCCGAGGTCGTCGCTTCCACCCAAACCGAGCCGCAGCAGTTCGCGAAGACCTTGTTCGTCCCACTCGCATTTTTCCTTATCCCATAGTTTACCACCTGTTGCTGCCAGTTCAGAGGCGGATGGAAGAGTGTAGGAGCCGCAGAAAAGCGAGACGAGAAGGGATGGAAGAGTAGTGAGTGCGCTCGTCTGGGACGGCAGAGAGGGAAGCAGAGAAGCGAGAAGTGCAGGGATATGCGCAGGTGATGTAAGGGGATGCGGCAGAGGAGTGTGTGGGAATGAAAGAAGCGAGTTCAGCGCGTTATGCAGAGGCTGTGACGGGGCCGGGAGTGTCACAGAGGGTGGAAAGGAGGTGGTCGGGAGCAACAGCGAAGGCGCTGAACCAGATATTGAACGAATGCGTTGCGGTAGCGACAGCTGGGTGAGCTTCGTGAGAAGCAAGTCTGACGCGTCGTCAGCTGGCAACGAGGACAATTACGAATGGAATACGTACCAAGCGCTTTTATGTACATTTCCACGGGCACGTTAAGTGCGTACGTATTATGTGACACTAGTACTCCCCCTCGAGTCCTGCATATTCGGAGAGCGTTTCAGAGAAAAGCAGCGGAAGAAACGGACCACAGTCATGAGTAACAGTCACCTGTGGACCAAAAGCAAAAGGACGCACCCATACTCAGGCAGCTCGTTTTCAAAACGAACCTCCTCCGTGACGACGATGTCGAGGTGTTCGTCGACGACGACTGCTCTGACACCCTCGACGGCCCACTCAAGCCCCAGGAAGCAGTTCTGACCCCCGATCTTCTTTCCCACTGCGCTGCTCATGCTTGCCGAAGCCATAGACATCCTTGTTGCCATGCACTTGATCGTAACTCGTTAGGGGTAGTAATGCGATGGTAGGGTATAAGGAGTATGATGATGGGCGGGTGAGGGAGTCGCACGACGACGTGGAGGAAGGCGGGGTAAGAAGAGGAGGGGAGCGTCGACGTGTGCTGTCCAGGGTGGAAAAGTGAAGGCCGGACTTTTTAAACGGCGGAGCCGGTTGAATGATGTGAGGAGGGAAGAAGTGAGAAGGAGAGGAAAAGGAAGGAAGGAGTGATGTAGCAGTGCAGACAGGGAGCAAGGGAAGTGCGCGCTTGCTTCTTTTTGTCACGGTCGGCATGGGGCATATGCAGAAAGGGTTGTTCCTCTCTCCTCTTCACTTTTCATTCTTCTTTTACCTCATTCAGTAATATAACCTTTTCCTATTTGTCTTGTCCACGGATTGAAGGGCATCGCGGCTCCTGTAGCAGGGACTAGGCGGGCACGAGGCAAAAATCCGCTCACGCGAGGTCAGTCGACGTATTCAAACGCGCACCAAAAGAAGCAGGGACACCGGAGAGTCTCAACCGACGCCCTTGCTACCGCACAAAGCACAGCCCAAGTTTTTAGGTGGCAACACAGTGATGCGAGACTCGTTCGTTCGACCACGACGATCTTTAACACCAGCATTATCCATAATCAATCATTAACATTCCCTATGTGAGGCACGAAGTCACCAATGACGAAAGTCGGTAAAACCCCTGCTACCCTGGATCCCAAATCAAAGCCTATATCTAATTTCCCCATAGCAATGGCATGCAACGACTGAGTACCAAACGTAACTCAAATACAGCCGGCTTTCCTATTATAAGCCAATGGCGGGGTTGGATCTTGGGTTATTGGACCCATAGATACTGTATCGTCAACATTCAAGACTGGGCGACGGTGAGAACCTGCCTCCGTCGTCAGGAACAGTACATTCGGAGGCAGAGAAGCAGCCACGGAACGCCGCGGGCGACGTGGAAGAGTGAATCGCGTCGAGGTGCGTGACCTACGCGTCCCTTGTGCCTGCGCCCCTGCCCCTGCTACTAACGCGCTATGTCGCGTACCTTAACTCCAATGTTTGCAGCATATTTGATGTGCATGAATGGAAGAAAGGGTAATGCACATCTCGGTCTCCACTCCGGGACCGTAAACCTAGGCTTCGCTGCTTCTTGTTCAGTTCCCACCCCTGGAAATCGGGGTGCGGGGGGAGCAACCGATCTCCGCGATTTCCCGGTCCAACATCCCCTTTCGTAATGCTCTGGCATCCTGGTTGCGAAGGTGGAACATCAACAAGACGCCGACATCGACCATATATGTTGCGTTGTCTTCTCGGCCGCTAAAGAGGTATCTCAACGGACCCGTAACGGCATAAAAGGTCCGACATTGCTGGTCGATCATAGAGTTTGCTCGTGCACATGATCCCCGTGATTGTTAGATGCACGTCATGGTCTGCAATACTTCACAATAACTTCGCACCCTGTTATCTGCTTCCTGTTATGACGTTGACTTCTGTCGGCCATGGCTCTCGGCGTCTTGATTTCTCGGCCTATATCGTTCCTCGATCTGTACCTTATGCTTCCAGCCTGGACCTTGACGCCGATTCCCCTTCTGAACCTGGTTGGAGAGCTTGTGGTGCTTAGAATCTTCTTTATGGAACGAGGACTGGGTTACGTGTCAGTAGCTCTGCTCTGTGCTTAGTCACTCTACGCGATCCAACGGAGACCCCCTTCGCTCAGACGGAATTTTAAAATTCCCCCGCTTGACTCCTTATTCTGGATGTTACAAGATGCTGGATTGACCACAAGGCATTTGTGTGCCACTGACATATCATATGTTGGCAGCTTTTAAACGGGACACTGTACGCATCCTACGCAACCGATATCCCTCTGTGGTCTGGTGTCTACCGTGTTTTGTTGTAGTCTTCCGAGGCAATTCTGGGTACACTTTCCAACGAAAAAGGAGCAGCCATTTCTGTCGTGAGGACGTATCTGTCATCACACTGGTCACGAGTCAAGATGGCCACCTCCACCAGTCAACAATAGACTGTCAGCAGCAAAGCGAGATTCCTGCCCTTTGAGTCCAACGCACGAGGAGAACTTTGGTTCCTCTCCCAAGGCATGTATGTTTCGATCATCCGGGCCGAAATTGCTTAATCCTTTCTGAAGTACCGCGTTTGTCAACATACATCTCCGCCCGAGGTTTAAACTCCAATCTTTCATTCCACCTATGTATCAGTGTCCCTCCCTACGACAGTAGGCAGGGAAAGATCATCGAATCCACCACGCAACAGATGACTAGAGCGGAGTCGTTCGCGTTGCCTTTACCTCTTCTCCTCCGCCTTCTTGTTGTCATCTCGGCTGCGTCATCCCTCACCACTGGACAAGTCTGGAGCGAGTTTTCCGGAAGTTCCAGAGACAGGCAATGCACTTGACGCCCAACCGCCCTTGGCACCTTCCGTGTGGGAAAGATTCGCCTCTCGCCAACTGATATTCCACTTCCATAACTGTAGCTCGATAGTAGAGGCTCCGGTTGCCTTAAACAGGTGAAATTGTGATTCAGCAATGGTATGACTTGTATGGTGTAGAACTAATCAAAGTGTACTTGGAAACTGGTCATCATTCCTACAGTTCCATGCCCTTTCGGCCGATTACTCGTCGGAATCTCGCTCCTCACAACGCGACGGGACAGAGAAAGTACTATCCGAGTCATTTGTAGGGGAGTCCTCATCATCACTCTCTGTTGTGTCCGGGCTTGGGGAAAGTTCGCGGCGCCTTTTGCCTGGTGCCGGGATAAATTGGCGATGAAGTAGAACTTTAGTAATGCACCGGTCATCTCTCTTCGTCGCTGACATTTCGGCATCTTCAGTACTGGCCCCCGTCTGTTAGAGGGCAAAGTCAATGATCAATGCGAAAGCGGTGTGCATGGAAAAGTGATTCACTGGTAAGGATTTCTTTGGGCACCGACCCTGATCTGCCACCTGTGGATCATCATGGGGTCTCCACGCGACATGGTTGGGGCCATAGTCGGCTTCCTCATGTGCGAGAGCTACACCTCCGGCACGATATTGGACGGGAGTGTCATCACATGGCACTGGTAGATCAGTTCGACGACGTTTTGGAATTGTAGGACGTTGGATCTTGGTCGATGAGCTGACATCGGCAATATAGAACGAATCAGGAAGACGGCCATAGCGACCCTCAAGTATTGGTATGAGCTCCTTGTGATGTCTGCGATAGTACGTGGACCAGCCACTTAACGTATGCGTCCGCAGCTGGTGAGGGTACAGTGAGTCAGGGAATTAGACGTTGCGTGATCCTGGCTTACCCGGTTCGCAATTTCACTAAGCACCTGTAATCTTTGGACAGAAGGGCATTTGTGAGCCGAAAACCAATGTAGTCCAGGAGGTATTTCACTTCTTCTTCAGAGTACTTCGAACCGGAAACACCTCCGCCAAGAGCCATACGAGTTGGAAGTGGTGGTTCGTCCAAATCTAGAGGCGGCTGGAGCTGGAAGTGGACTTCCCCCTTGCTTAACCTGATCAACCTGCCGCTGCTGCTCCTTCTGCGGAGCAGAATGGGATTGAAACCAATTAACTTGCTCATGCGCCGTTCCAGGGGAAGATACCGCTGTGTCCGCTTCACGGGACAAGGTAGAAGATCTGTACAAGAGTTCGCCATGTTGATTATAACGCAAAGTCGGGTGGGACGAGATAACACGTACCGTCGTGTCCCATGGCTTTGATCTCTGGGTTCCAGTCGATACCCTGCCCAATTATCGTGTTCCCACAGTAAACGGTTCTGATCCCAACACTTTTTCACCCATCCAGCGTCCAAAACTACCCTCGTCTTGCCGTACTTCTCGGCATACTCGCGTGCAGCAGGCGTCTCCATATCAACAAGGATGATCTCGGCATCCGTGATCGCAGGTTCGCAGTCTCCACCGCCCTCCTTCCACGCCATAAATAGACATACAAGAAACGACAAAAAGATAGGACGTACTCTTACGCGCCTGCTGATAATTTTCCGGTAGTTTGGCGGCAGCTCAGGATCCCAGTAGACGCCCAGGGGTTTCGAGTCTCTAACAAAGATAGAACCGTCTCACATATGCATACTCGCAACCAGCATACGAGTCGTTTGTGTTGTTGAGCCAGTAGTCGAATGCGACGGGGGTGCCAGTGTTTATGCTCGGGGACAAAACCACGGAAAATTTTATGTAGTGATGAGCGGATATACGGAGCCATCACGTCGTCTCTTTGTTTCCACAGCATCCGTGTGCCTCACATAACGCCCAGAATCCTTTGTCTTCGGTGCTGAATTCCGGCTAGAAGTTGCAAGTGCTCAAGCACAGATAACAGGGTGAGGTCACCAGCAGGAGACTTTTTACGATAGACATTGATCCGATTGAAGTTCGACAAGGTCTTGCAAGCCCTCCATCTGTGGCACAACCAGTTTGATCACAACAATCGACAGCTGTGCCCCAGTTCCTGCATTATCTGAGAGCCGGTTGACGGTGCAGAACGAGCTAATGAATGTTCTCTTTCACGTCTTCTGTGCTGCACATTCGAATTTCGAGTTCGGATCTGACATTCGAACGACTCTTCGAACGACATGCCGAACTCGGCCGGAACGGACTATTGGAAGGAAGATTGGACCCTATACATAGCCTTAGGTAATATAGATTAGGAATAGATTAGGTAGTTAGTCCGAAAGTCCGAACCACTCCGAACATGTATAGGAGGATATTAATATTCAAGTACTTCAGATAGGGACGCTCTTTCAGCTCTCTTCCCATTACTTCCATTACACCTAATACTACTCCTCTACTATACAGTCAATCTTTACTTTATCCTCTGCTTCTCTCATTCCGATTATCAATTCGAATTCTCGAACTGTGAACAGCAACACTCGTTATTAGCCTTTCGAGTCCTCTCAGCCACTCCTCCTTTTCGGATTCCCGTCGGACTGCTTGCGCCTTAGACAGGCATTGGCTGCGCTCTTGCCTGGGGTTTAGGAAGGCACATCGAACCCTCGAAGCAACCTTCGGACCGCTCTCTCCTTTGAATCTATCTTCGATTCGGCCACTATTAGACGTCAGAACTACTACTAGCTAGGCTCGGGCCACTACAGTCAACTCCCCCTCCAGCGGACTTACTCCTGACGCCTCATTGGGAGGTGTAGAGTACACTTCGTTCCAAAAGATTCCTGGATTGCCTCCGGCTGAATGAAGACACACGGAGCGAATTGAAGGATCGGGATGCTCAGTCGTACAACTCGTACATGTACATCCTTTATTGCGAACTCGTACACCGTCGAACTACGAGATATGCCCCGATCTGAAAAGAAGGCGACGTAGAATTTCGCCATCTAGCATGCACGTAGAGCTACAAACATCATTATATGCATATGGGCCTGCTATCTTAAGCGTCCACTGTCGAATCGCAGCTCGCCAATGCTCAAGCTCTTACCCAATGACCACTCTGGAAAGAACGCTGCTAGCCCTCAACTGAGGATATCGTCTCAGCGAGAGTTCGGCATCTCGTAACCGGACTCGTTCGTAGGAGGATTTCGACGAAGCTGCTCTTGTATGCGGTCCGGCTCGTTCGACTTTACAATTTCGAGATGGCATTGAGCGACAGATGCAGAGCGGTCCGACGGTCCGATCTTCTGTATTAGAAAGGATGATGTCGAGGATGAGATGCCGAGTGTGCAGTCCTTCGCACCCAACTACACTGGCTCTACAACACAGCGCCAAGGATATCGTAGGTACCGATCTTCTTTGCCAAGTCCATGCTGACCACGCGTACTATAGGCATCCTGAAGCCTGACATCACCCAACGATCTGTATCTCACGTCAACAAATGGTCAACATCTCGTAACCGCGCTAGTTCACCGCCCACTGTCCGAGGAAATAGTCTGCAGCAGAACGACGACTTGCACATCTGGACCGCCAAGGCACGATACGTATTTTTCCGCGCGCGGTTCCAGAAAACGTCCAACTTCCGATCGAAGGGGCTTATCCTCCGCCTTGGATCTGAGGACTTGGCAACAATGGGAATGGAAATCAGCGTGCTATTATTGTCGCGCCAAGCACACGGTGGTTATGTGGGATGTTGGGATGGCTTGGCCAACAGGCCCAACAAGCGAGTTGAACGCCCAGAGGCAACGTTGCGTGTGCTGGTCGTGCGACCAAGACTTGCTATCAATTAGGCGACTGATGACCCGTTGGAGCCGATCTCTAATGTCAGCATCGAAAGTATATGCAGCATACGATGCAAGAATCAGTTCCTCTTGGCGACGTATGACGCGAAGCAGGCCTGGGGCTTCTGCGAGGCTTGGAGGCTTTGATCGGTTCCAGGAATAGATGTTTGCGGGAACCGCGTCCGTCGCTCTCTGCCTTGTACCATGCCGCAGAAATCGCCGACGCCCCCTGCAAAGCCCCCATCAACAACCAAGGATTAACAACGATCAACTCCACCATCTCGGCACCCTATCCCCAGCATCCAGAAGAAGACGGGCCACCACTCGGGAAGCAGGCCGAATCCCGATCCGCCTCGGTGGTCTTGGCCCCCTGCTGGACCCCGACCTGCCCGCGGGCTCAGGAGTCAGAAGACACTGGGTTTCCGAGGGGGGATCTTAAGGACGATTCGATTTCCTGTTCCCGATTGTTGGGAATGTGGCGGGACTGGCAGAAAACGCGGATTTCCTCGTCCTCCGAGGGCGCGCCCACTTTCTTTGGTAGAAGATGTTGCCAAGTACGGCAAGAGGAGATATGAAGCAATATTTTCACCAATGATTATCCTACGAGCATTCGAAGCTGCACACTTTCTGCGAAGAGAAGTCGCCACCAACTTGAAGGCACAAAAAAAGTTACCGGAGACACCGCCGGTTAGAGCACTGCCACTGCTTCTGATGAGCAGAAAATCACGCGCGTCCCTGAGCGGAGGGGAGCTAATCTCGATCGGGAGCAACGGGCGAGACTTCGGCACGTGCGTGACCAATCATCGTTCGAGGCGAGGGGAAGCGAGGAAGTTTTTGACCCGTACTGTCTTTTGTTGTGAAGGGGGCGGCGACTCGAGTCAGGCCGATTCATGCGTAAGGGATGGGCGGCTGGTGGGATGGAATAGGAGATAAGGATGACGATGGGAATGGGAAATAAAGTTTGAAAGGTTGGCTGTGCGCGTGGTTCATGGTGCGTATCGCTGCAACGAACGTGCGCGCGCGAACCATGATAATCGCGACGCGTCAGACGGGCGAACGGCGGTCAACGCACAGCGTGCAGTAGGATTACAGATATGCATGTCGACCAGTGTGGGGCAAGGCCAAGGGGTGAGAAGGAGAATGACGGGAAGTGTATATCCGTTCTCGTTCTCGGTGTCTCTGGTGCACCGAGGCGGGTATGAGTATTACCCATCCCATCCCCCAAATTACTCGATTAACCAACCAGTCCAGCAGCGGGGGTGACGCAAGACATCGCCCTCCTTAGGCACAGCGACTGCTCATCATATTACGATTCCCCGTTTCGACTGACTCGACGAGCTGGCACGTTCGGCGGCCTCGTCTCCCCTTCCCGCATAAGAGTATTTAAGCCCCCCCTTTCACACCGACCTCTCTCTCCCAAATCCCCACCTGCCTCCCTCTTATCCGATTACTAACCATCCCTGCTAAGCCAAGATACATAAGAAACCTTGTCGAACTGCTTTCTCCCGCGACTAGTACTCGACTAGACGTGACTCGCCTTCTTGCGTCTCTCCTCTCGCTTCCGCCGTACCCGCACCCGCGCCGCCGTCTTCTCCGCCCAAAAAGAAACTGAAAAAAAGTACTCAAGCTTTCAGCCTTCTTCCCCCAACGCTTCTTCCCCCATCCATCGTTCCATCGTTCATCCCATCCTTCCTACGCCCAGAACCTGCATAATATTCTCGGGCTTCTGTCGTCCGTAACCCACCAGAAGACGCTCCCAATAACAGCTTTGCGCCCGCAGCCCCAGCCAGTGCTTGTTCTTACTTCCAACATCTGCTGCCTTATTGGACAGACTTCTATCTCGCACAAAGAGGGATTTATAGCTCAAAAGTCGCATACACGCTCATCCCCAACCTCTCACCCCTCAACCCGCAACGCCCATCCCCCACCACACCCATCTTCAATCCACGATGATCTCCTCCCAGCAACAGCCTCTCCCCACTCCGCCAGACACGCCTCCCCAATTCCCCAGCACAGTCCTCGACTGTCCTGCACTCCCCTCCCCACCCTCCGAGCCCGTCCCAGTCCCCACAACCGCACCGACCAAACGCACGCCCTCATTCCACCTCATCCTCCCCCTCCCTCGGCCCGCTAGCATGCCCCTCCTCTCCCCCTCGCCAAGCGCCTCCCTGCTCGCCTCTTTCTACCCTCCCTCATCGGCAGAAGCACAGGCACACGACCATATCTACGAGCATATACTGCATGACCCGCTCATTGGCGCGACGGAGATGGGCCAGAGCGCGGCTTACGCGGCCGTGAGGAGGTATATCCTTGCTGAGGACTTGTTTATCTTCCCTACCGATGGGAGGCAGCTGAGTGATGTCCTGGGCCGGTTTGCAAGGGATGTCATACACAGTCTCATCAGTGCGTCTCTTTGGTTTCATTTATGCTAGTGCTGACCGTCCCCAGGCCAGGCAAAAACCCGCATAGAGGAAGGCGGCTACGCTCGTGCTCGCGCCATAGCCATGCATTCTCTCCACACGCAGGTCTTAACTCCAAGCGGGACGTCCACCCTCCTAGAGATACACAAGGAGCTCACCCCAGCGCTGTCGAGGAGCGAAGGGAGCGTCTCGGGGGACAGCGAGGGTGAGGAGGTGCGCACGCCTGGTTTGGCAAGCTCGATGGGAAGGAGAGCGAGGATGCGGATGACGATGACTCGCATGCAGGAGAAGGACGGTACCGCTCCTGGGAAGGCCGGAGGAGGGGAAGTGGTGATCGCTAGTGCTTGAGTTGCGGCGACCCTGCCCTCGCTCCCGTCGTTCGGGCCCGGTCAGTGCGGGCGCTTCCCGAGGCGGGACGAAACGCCGATACCCAAAGCGGGAAGGAAGCCAGAAGTCAGAAGCCTAGCAAGAGATTACCTCTCGAGCGCCCTACCCCTTCTACACCCTGCCCTGGCTTCGGTCCCGCTTACTGTCTATTTCCCTGGTTCTGCTGGTTCTAATCCTGGTTCTGCTCGTCGTCTGCTCAGTCCCCGCTTCGGTCTTCTCTCCCTGTTTCCCGGCTGTCCGACCCCTCCCCGCTCGCCTGATCCCCTCTCCGCCTGCCCGATCCCCGACCCTGATTATCCCATTGGGATTGGGGTTGGGGCTGTCATTATCGTTGTCGAACCTATTGTCACCCCTCCACCCGCAACCTCACTCCTGACTGTCACTCTCGCTCGCGTGACTCACTGTATTCAAGCTTTCATCACCCTCAAGTTCCCCCGTGGTCGTCACGCGTCATGTCAATATGATACTGCCTTGTGCCTGTCTGAGTGACAGGCGAGGACTATGCATACCTCTCACTGTATTGTACCCTAGCATCATGTCATGTCATCCACTGTTATCAGTTACCCGTTATCCATCGTCAATCGCCGTCGTCCGTTGTCTATTGTTATCCTGCACTGCGCAGTGATATCATAGCTTATGACACTGATGACCGCACAGGTCGGAGAGGACAACCCTCCCGGTGAAGAGCGCATCCGACCATCAGGTAGTGGCGGTGCGTCTTCCCGGCTTCCATTCGCGGCTTCCGACTTCTCCCAGCAGAGGCGCCCCTCTCTCGCGTTTAGGGGACCTTCATGAGTGAAAAAAGTGCACAGTATGGTCCTGTGTCGCACGTTCGAGGGATGAGCCACCTCACTGGAGGTTGAATGGCACTAAACTCACCCAGCCATGCGGAGAGGGTTATGCACCGTGCGTGCGTGCTGTGTTATTACACTTTCACTCCTCTCACTCACACTGCTCACTAGACACAGGAGGCGGCGTGCGTGCCCCTCCCCCTCTCCCTCTCATCTCCCCTCTCTTTGGTGGCATACATTACCCCCATCAACTAATATCACCCCACGCCGTCTCCTGTGTCTCCTTCCTGTGCATATATCACTCCTTCATCACACCATCAGCATATATACACCACACGACCATCCCCTCTCTCTTCGTGTCGCATGACCACTAGAACCCCAGCATGCCCCTCCTCCCACTGGCTTTGGTGTTACTCCCCCTCCTAGGGCGGGGAGACCAACACCCCTTCCTCCCCCCACCTACTGACCCCTCCCCCGCTCCAGCACCCAAACAGCCCCACGGCCGCTTTCTCCACCTCACAGACATCCACCCCGACACCCACTACACACCCTACACCCGCCCCTCGAGCGCCTGCCACAACACCCATTTCGGGAAGAAGTCGACGCGCGTCGCCGGTTTCTGGGGAACACCAGTAAGCGACTGTGATTCCCCCATAAGGCTCGTAGACCTCGCCCTGGACTTTGCGGAACAGTGGGCGGACGAGGTGGATTGGGTCGTTTGGACTGGGGATAGTGCGAGGCACGATAATGATCCTCAGCTGGCGAGGACGGAGGAGGAGATCGAGGGGAGTAACCAGTACCTTGCTACGAGGATGAAGGAGGTGTTTTGGGATAGGGGCGTGCCTGTTATCCCTAGTATTGGGAATAACGACGTTTGGCGTGAGTCACCTGTATGCGTGTATGCGTGAAGCTGACCGGAGAATGAATATATAGCGCACAACGTCATGTATCCCGGACCGTCCAGTACCACCCGGGCGTACGCGAAGATGTGGACGCCTATCCTCTCCCCTCTGACGAACCTCTCTACTCTCTCCCACGGGCTGTACTTCTCCACCCCCCTTCTGACGGAGCACAAGGTCGCGGCTGTGTCGCTCAACACGCTCTTCTTCTACGACTCGAACAAGGCTGTAGACGGGTGTGAGGACGATGACGACCCTGGCACAGAGCAGATGGTGTGGCTCGAAGCTGAGCTCGAGAGGTTCAGGAGGGACGGGTGGAGGGTGTACCTCACTGGTCACGTGCCCCCCAGCACGAGGAACTACTATGCCGGTTGTGTAAGTCCTTGCTTCATCCTTGTATGCGCGAAATTCACCCTGTGCAGTATAGGAGATACGGAGAGCTCGCACTCCGGTTCCAGGATATCATCCTGGGCCACTTTTACGGGCACATGAACATGGACCATTATTTCTGGATCTCGCTCGACGACGTCAAGTCCGCCTCTAGCAAGAAGTCCAAGTCCAAGCCTGGCGCGCGCCAGTCCGCAAAGTTCCCAATCACCATCCAAGGAGCGCACGACTACGACCACGAGGACCTCATGCGGGAGCTGAAAGCACTCCCGAGAGAGGAGAAAGTCGACTTTGCGGATTATGCGGTTGTGAACGTCCCTGCTAGTGTGGTGCCGACGTATTTCCCGGGAATGAGGGTGTATACGTATAACGTTAGTGGGATCTATCCCCCGCCGCCTATCGTCCCCGAGGAGAGCTTCGACGTCAACACCGAATTCGACGATGATACCGAGTCTGAGTCCCAAGGCAAGAAATCCAAAGAGCCCAACCCGTGCAAAGGGCAGAAGAAGAATTCCCCCACCTGTGTCGGGGGCAAACCGCGTCATTCCCACCCTCTTTCCGCCACTCGCGCCCCCGGTCCGTTCACACCCACGGGCTACGCACAGTATTTCCTTCCTGGGGTGGAGGAGGCTGGGGAATCCGAAGCCCCTGTGTGGGAGCTGGAGTATGCGACGTACGAGAGTGGGGGGAATGGGACTTGGGCTGAAAAGGGCTTGTTACCCATGCGTATGATCCCTAGGGAGCTTGGGGGGCATATGCGCTGCCCGTCCTTGGAAGCTCCTGAGTCCCTTGCCGACCCGGAACCGGATGCAGAAGACCCCTCTGAGCCCGAAGCGTCTAAGAAGAAGCACAAGAAGAAGAAAGCCGAAAGGAGAAAGGAGAAACAGAGAGAACGACTTCGGACCCGGCAGCTCTTGCCCTACCAGTTGAGGGACCTCACCATACCTTCCTACCTCGCACTGGGGCGGAGACTGGCACGGGAAGAAGGGGTCTGGGGCGAGTTTAAGAGGAATATGTATGTTGGTACTGGGGAGGAGGAATGAGCGTCTGCGCGTTGCGCGTAGGGCAGCTGCTCCCCTTGTTTGGTTGGAGGGTTGCTGGAGGGAGTGTCACTACTGGAGAGCACGGGACGGAAGAAAGTGTACAACTGGACGCGTGTAAAGTTGAATTCGAAGGGATACTGTAACGCAATCTGATACCCCAAACTAGCCGTATCTGTGCATCGGATCGTATCGTGGGGAACATGGATCGAGCATCGGTAGGAACATTGGATACCTTGCCACTTGCGCATTAGTGCTGTACCTGTTGGTGGAATGTCACGGTATTGGTGGTGTGCTTTGTTTGGAGGCTTTGTTCGGCTTTTGTTCGGCCGGAAGCAATACACATCCTCGTCGGCAAATTGACTCATCTCGCACCCCTCGCCCACATGTTCTGAACCGCTATTTATATCTGTCTCGGAAGTCGAAGGCACAGGATGGACTACACGAATGAGTTGCCTAGACTGTTTGGAGTGCCAGTATGTGTCGACTAGTAAGGGGATAGAAAAAACTGCCGGTGTCTCAACTGTCTTCAACTACGTCGACGGGTTACTGTTCCAAGCTGGGCGATGCATGCCCGGACCTCTCTTTGCCCTTCAGCCTGGGAGAGCTTGTTATAGTCTGCTTGACTTGAGTTGAGATAATGGGAGATGACCGGCGGCCTCCGAGTCTGGTTCAGGTTGAATATACACATTTCTCGTTGGACAAACTTGTTCAAGTGCCGGACGAGCTGGACTGTGCATGGTTCATTCTCATATACTCATATCGAGGAAGCAAACCCGCGCATGATCTGGAAACGCGGCCAATGGAATAACTCCGCACTTCCGACCATTGCTTTTGGATGGTTTCGTAGCCGAGTAGGCTTCTCACGAGACATGTCCAAACGTCACGCGTCTTTCTTCCTTTACGACCATGAGCTCACGCCGTGGTGCTATTTTTGTTCGGTGCTCAAAGCCGCTGGGCATATACTGGGACGTGGACGATGCGGACGTCCTGCCACATGAGTACTTGAGACTCATCAGCAGGCGCATAAGGGTATGTCCTCTCTCTTCATCGCTCTATATATGCGCATATATGATCCAATTCCAGGAAGGAGGCGGAGACTATGAACCATCTATCGACGCTGCCGATATCATACTTGTAGACCGACAAGCGATTGCTGCTCGCAGGTATATCCAGAAGTATGGAAGGACGAAGCTAGTCCTCGACGCTGTGTGGGTACTGGGATGTCGACGAGCGGCTGCAAACTTATCTGAGTACAGTTAGTATGCGCATCCGAGTATGTTCTTTTCTTTGCAGGTTTATGATCTTCTTATGTACATTCCATCAGGAGGGTGGTGGTGATTACGAGCCCTTCATTCATGATGCCGATATCATCCTTGTTGACAGGCATACACCTGCCGCCCGGGAGTATGTACAAATGTATTCAAGGAACAAAGTGGTTCTTGATGCCAGTTGGGTGAGAAAGTGTTGGGACCAGCGATGCTTACTATGGGAAGATACCAATTGGGCAGGTTGTCGACTGGAATGCAAGGATCAAGAGCCCGGGGCAATAAACCACCCCAAGTATGTACCTCTTGTTTTCTGATCATTCTTTCCTGACACAGTTGCGAACCTGGAAGCAGTACCTCTATCATCTCAAATGCACCTGCAAGCGCAGGGTTAACATCTATCAGTTCACCTCCTATCACCAACACTATTTTGCCAACCAGCAGTGGTTCATTCCCACAACAACAAAATACAGGCATGACTTCTCATGACTCTGAAGAAGAATTGAATCCCTTGCCACCAAGAGCACGTCCACGTCTCATATTCCAAAGTCCTTCCATGGGCCCGCTTGGTCTGTTTCTTGATCCGTGCTTGCCCGAACGAGCGAGTCTCGTGAATACTATTGAAGTAAGCATGCTGTACATCACCCATCGAAACAAGTTGAACTGGTTTAGGAAAACGGTGGACGCATTGCTTTGCTCGGTGACTGCGATAGTATCATCACGCTTCCTGACCGTCAGGAGATACTTCATCAAGCAACACAGCGCAACTTGATAGCTGTATCACCCAAATGGGTTCATGATTCAGTGAAAACGAACTGTCTGCTTCCGCTTGAGGAATACAGATTGATCGAGGCTGCAAGGCCAGATGACAGCGAGCTCCAACGATGTCTGGAGCCGGGTGAGCCACCCCTGCCAATTCCCGTCGGTCCTAATAAAAGAAGTTCTCGTCTCAAACCCTCCAAAGAAGAAGTGGACTACGCCGTGGAGTATGTGGTTTATCGCCTGGCAAAATCTCGTTCAGTGAAACGAAACGATGTGCTTATTGAAATTGCAGAGCGAGTGAGCATTCTTCTCTTAGTTTCTGGTTCGGTGTGTTAGACTTACCCTATTATTTCCCAGCTCAAGACATTACCAGTAGAGTCCTGGAGGGATTTCTATCTCAAGAATCACAGAAAGCTCATACGAAGACTCGAAATGCGCTGCAGTCGTCTTCCAGAGACATTTTACGTCAAAGTAAAGAAGAAAATCGTGCTTGCAAAACCACAACCTCGATCCTCAACTCCTCCGCCTACTCCACCGACCACCACTCTCCGCCGTCCTCGTGGCGTGGGTTTCCTCCTCACGCCAGAAGAATCCGAATACTGCTTAGCATATCGTAAATGGAGACTTCGAAAAGAGAATATCTTTCTGCCAAGGGCATTTGTGAAGAAATCACGAAAATTGTGAGCTGTTCACTTGCCAAGCAGTACTTCTGCATGATGCACTTGGCTCACCAGATGTCAGCTTCCACACCGGAGTGCAACAGCCTGGGCTCTAGTAATGGGACAGTTCAAGTGTGCTGATGACCCCAAGCCAGTGCAAAAGAGCTGAGCTGAAACAGCATCTTGAAGAAGGCATCTGACGACTTGTTTTGTCATTCCTGTCCGTTGCATGCACCAGTTCCACCCAATCCAATCCGATCGCACACGAAGGACTCCAGTCCATCCGATCCACATTAATCCACCACCCACCCATCCAAATGTTGCACGTCCTATCCCCTCCAACTCCCAACTCCCGATTCCTCATCCCCCTTCAGCCTGAGCTACCTAATCCCCTCAAGGACACCACCCCCCCGGGCCTCTCTGCCTATCCCTCCTGAGTCAGGTAGCCGGCATACCATCTTCCCTTGGCTTAGTGCCCTCCCATCTCCATTGGCATCTCCATCCCAGCTCCATCCCCACTCCAGCTCCGGCAGCCCGGGAAGAGTCCGAGGTCTGATTTCCTGTTATGCCCACGTACATGTAGTTATGTACAAGTATGATACATCCATATTCCATATTCCCTCCAGTCCAGTCTTCGACCAATAAGTTCCCACCATCCAATCCCCTACCTCCACCCTACCTCCCCCCCCCTCCCCCCAAAAGGCGCCTACCTAACTCCCCTAAGAACATCAAACACCTCCCCCTGCCTGTCCCTAAACGCGCCCAGCCCTACCCAAGTCAGCGCCAACACGTTTATCCGATTCGCAAGGGCGAGTACTGTCCCCCCCGGGCTTTGGGGTCTCCCCCCATCCCCATCCCCCTCCCCCTCCCCAGCTCCAGCTCCCTGTACAGCTACAGCCGCCCTACTCCCCTGGAGTAACTGCGTACGCAGTCTTTCCAGCCTCGGGATCGGGATCTCCCGATCTTGCGCAGCGTACCTGATCGCTCTGGCATCGTCTTCCTCTCCCAAAATCTGAGCGCGCAGTGCGATCCTCACCAGCTGGGCCATGAACGGCCTATACTCTCTCGAGACATCTTCTTCCCTTATCGGGCGATCGAGCACTCCGAGCACTTCGCCGTCGTGGGTTATGCGCGTGAGGCAGACTTGGAGGATGGAGAGTGAGACGCTGGAGAAGTATGCTTGGGCAGGGTCGGAGGTGAGCAGCTGGTGCAGCTGGGGGATGTGGGAGAACTGGTCCGCTAGGGCGGCGTAGAGCGTTTCACGGATGAGGGCGAGGATGGGGGAGGGGGTCGTTGGGGATGAGAGGGGGGATGCGGGCCGGGTGGGGGTGTGTGGTGAGGGGGGAACTTGGAGCTTTGTGCTTGGGATAGGGTCGGGCGAAGGGAGAGGGCCTGGTTTCCCGCTGCGAGAGGGCGTGCGGCGCCTGGGAGAAGGAGGAGGATTAAGTTTCGCCCCTGGCCCCGCGCCAGGGGACGCTGGCCTCCCTGGCGAAAGCGGTACTTGGAGCTTCTCCCCCAGTTCTACCCCCACGGGCGGGGGAGGGGGAGGCAACGGTTTCTCCTCCAGGGCAGGCACATACCCCGGCGGTGCTTCCCAGCTCGTCCTCCCCCCTCCAGCTCTATCCAGCACAGCCTGCAAATCCCCCCTATACCGTTCCTGAAATGTCCTCCTCTGACTTATCTCGATCGCAACTGCTCTCAATTCTGCTGCTAACCGGGAGAGTGATTCCCGGACGGGGGAAGTGAGGGGTTCTAAGTCGCAGATGAGGCGGGCGAGATCATGTTGATACCCGGGGGGGAGGGCGCGTATGTGGGGAACTGTGGATGACCAGAGCTGGAAGAGGGGGAGGAAGTGGGGAGGGCAGGTTGTGAGTGTGAGTTGGAGTGGGGGGGAAGGGGGAGAAGAGGGAAGTGTGACTGATGGTGGGGAAGTAGAGGAACGGAGTGCGGCGAAGAATAGGCATAGGGCGGGTCCTGCGTGGGGTGAGGTGGGGAGTGGGTGCAAGGAGAGTACGCTACCTTGTACCATCAAATCTGCTTCTGCGCTTTGTAACATGTCATCTGATAACAACCTTTCTGCGTGTGCTTGTGATAGCGCTCCTTTCAGAAATGAATGAAATGATGCGATTAGTTGAGATTCACTGAGAGGAGAAGGGGAAGACATCGTAGACATAGAGGGTATCACTTCAACAATCAGCAAAATAATAAGTGCGAATGACGTCTATCTGACTCCACCGGACATTCATTACCCGTCATTCAGTGGCTGTGACATTACATAACATCGGATTATCTTCTCTCCGTAAACAGGGTCTCACATCGAGCCCTTTGTGCACTGATCACTTGTGACATCCTCACATTGGTGGTACACAACTCGCTCACAACAGTGCTCGTTCACAGAAACACAAAGGAACAGAGAAGAGAGAAGCGCCTCCCTCTCCGGCCCCGACCTTCCCACCCCTCAACCCAAGCTCACCCAGTCCATCATCCCCAATCCCATCCCATCCCATCCCATCCCCCCAACCCTCAACCCTCAACTCCCCAACCCCAGTCTAGCCCATGTCAGACAGCGCCAGCGCCTCCGGATCCTCAACAGCAGGAGAAGAAGATTCAGAACTATATGACGCTCTCCAAGCTCGACTTCTCCGGTCAGGGGAATGGACCCGGTGCGTCCTCCTCCATCCCTCCCCTGTGAACGTAACTAACGCTTCCTTCCCCC